GCCTAGGATGCGTATAGTATGTTACACTCTACTTAGGATACATATAGACGATCATGCTCTGCCTAGGATGCGTATATTATGTTACGCTCTGCCTAGGATGCGTAGAGTATTTTAATCTCTAACTAGGATGCGTATAGTATGTTACGCTCTGCCTACAATGCGTATAGTATGCTACGCTCTGCCTAGGATACATGTAGTATGTTACGCTCTACCTAGAATACATATAGTATGTTATTCCCTGCCTAGGATGCGGATAGTATGTTACGCTCCGCCTAGGATGCATATAGTATGTTACGCTCTGCCTAGGATACGTATAGTATGTTACGCTCTGCCTAGGATACATATAGTATGCTATGCTCTGCCTAGGATGCGTATAGTATGTTACGCTCTGGCTAGGATACGTATAGAATGTTACGCTCTCCCTATGTGCGTATAGTATGTTACGCTCTACCTAGGATACATATAGTCTGTTACGCTCTGCCTAGGATGCGTATAGTATGTTACGCTCTGCCTAGAATGCGTATAGTATGTTACGCTCTGCCTAGGATACATATAACATGTTACGCTCTACCTAGGATACATATAGTCTGTTATGCTCTGCCTAGGATGCGTATAGTATGTTACGCTATTCCTAGGATGCGTATAGTATGTTACGCTCTACCTAGGGTGCGTCTAGTATGTTACACTCTACCTAGGATACATATAGTATGTTACGCTCTACCTAGGATACATATAGTCTGTTATGCTCTGCCTAGGATGCGTATAGTATGTTACGCTCTACCTAGGATACATATAGTATGTTACGCTCTGCCTAGGATACATATAGAATGTTACGCTCTACCTAGGATACATATAGTATGTTACGCTCTGCCTAGGATGCGTATAGTATGTTACGCTCTACCTAGGATACATATAGTATGTTACGCTCTGCCTAGGATGCGTATAGTATGTTACGCTCTGCCTAGAATGCGTATAGTATGTTACGCTCTACCTAGGATACATATAGTATGTTACGCTCTGCCTAGGATACATATAGAATGTTACGCTCTGCCTAGGATGCGTATAGTATGTTACGCTCTGCCTAGAATCAAAATTTCGCTCTCCGGCAGTATGTTTGGGATCGGTGGAATATATATACGCACTACTTAGAATCAAAGTCTCCCACACCGACTCTTTGCCTAGGATCAGTGTATTATCTGTACATTCTTCCTAGAATCGAGATCTACCTTTTCAACCGTATGCCTCTGTAGCTTATGTGCGCTCTGACGAGGATCACTGTGTAGCTTTCTCGACCCTCTAACTAGGGTCAATGCTGCATCTGTACACTTTTTCTAGGACCAAAGCCTCGCTCCTTGACGTTTTGCTTAGGATCAGTGTATTATCTCTGCTTGCTTCCCTGAATCAAAGTGCTGCTCTTAGATCGACTGCCTAATTTCATTGTAGCATCTGTGCATTTTATTTGACTTTGTATTTGCAAGTTAATTTGATTATATTGTACAAGCAAATGTACGTTGGTGTAATGAAACGTTCAAATCAGGACAGAATTCATTTGTTCATTTTGTAATTGCTGTAACATCACAGAAGCCACGGGGAGAGAAACACATAAAAAAATTAATGTTAAGTATTATATATGATATTCTTATATGCTTTGCTCATACCTACCTTATGCTTAAATACATTTATTTATATACCAATTCAAGTGTGCATTTACACACACACACACACACACACAGGTCTGTATGATGGGGTGTTCGTTTCTATACATGTGTCTGTGGCACTGTGATTCGCATGCATTTTGGTAATTTATGTGCAACTATAAAACTTGCTTGCTAAGAGAACTGCGTATATATTTTAGTGCCAGTGAAGTATGTCTCAGCGAATGATTTTGTACACTGATTTTCACGGAAGGCAAATTAACTCTCCTTTATTTACACTATTTACAAATGGATTATTGTCCTCATCTTTATTGTTGTTATCACGATGTTTCGGTCGCTGTTCCTTCCGGCCTTCATCAGGTATATCTTAATCCGGGTAATCCACAGGGAATTCTGAAATGATACCTTTATTTAATTTTCGAGTTTACCCTATTCTTATTCAACTTCCTTTCTTAAAAAATGTTATTACAATCAGTTTGCCTTTGTGCAGCTTTACACCATTTTAATCTAAGCTTTATGAATATCTATATGATAATTACTGTAGTTAAGATATTGATATGTCTTCTCAGCTGGTTTATTCAACGTTTACAGTAAAGCAATCCTAAGAAAACTAGAAATTTTGCTTGGATTTATCATTGGTAGGTACAATCTTAACGACATAAAATACGCAGATGATGCCATTTTGATTGCAGACACAGAAAGTAAAGTACACCTAAACATACTATTAAAGGAAAGGGTGATGAAAGGACTAACCTTCACTTGTAAAAAGAAGAAAAAAACCAGCCCTGAATACAAGTCACGAATTAGAAATGTTAAAATAAAACACGTAATTAAGTTTAATACCTGGGAAGTGTTTTAACATGACGGAATGTTTGAATCTAAAGGGCACACTGGGATAGCTTATGATGTCTTTTTAACGATAAACAAAGTAATAAGAAACAGGAAAAATTATTTAGAAACAAAGAAAAGAGTGCTGAACTGCTATGTAATATCAGTTCTTCTATACTGCAATGAATGCTGGACAATATATTTAGAGATGAAGAGGAGACTAGAGGCAAAAGAGATATGGTTTTACAGAAGGATGCTGAGAATGTTAAGGATGAAGTATGTAAGAAATGAGGAAGTTTTAAGGAAACTAGAAACAAAAAGTACACCTATACTTAGAATCAGAAAGAGATAGTTGAAATTTATGGGAGACATAATGAGGAAATAAGGCTTGGAAAATTTAACACTCACAGGACATACAAAATGCGAAAAGGGACAGAATGAAACACTGAATAACCTACCTAATAAACTGGTGGAAATATCAGAACAGGGAACGGGTTGGATAGTAAAACGACAAATCTTGCTAAGAACCACAAAGTTTGTGAAGTCGTAGAGAGCCATGATCGACCACGTTCGGAAGGGACACGACATAAATCCTTTTTTCTTTTTTTTTTTAATTATGTGTCAGTTTGGTCGTATGTTTTTATATCGGTGATTCCAATTGGGTGTTTCTGTGCGTCCCTTAAATGTAGTCACCAAACGGCATTTCCGTAATAGTACAGAGTGCTTAAGTTTCGTGTTACCCGGTAAGAATACGCCTCAGTCCTACATTTGATCTCCGACATCTGAAATAGAAGAAATCATCTCATTACTTGCGCCCAGGGCACATATCATCTTTCATTAGACTATGTCATAAGTCCCCTATCGTTCAACATTTATTTGCACAAATCAACGCACAGCAATCCTGGCAAAGGCGTTTAATAAAAATGAAATTATGCGAAGTTTTTAAAATAAGATAGGATGATGAAAAGGGAAAACAAAAAGAAAGAACAGAGCGGTTTCCTGTTTTTCTCCACAGTTTTGCCCACATCACAGGCTGACGTTTCAATGACATGCGCAAAAAGAACATGTCTTATATGTAAACAACAACACGGACAATAAGTAAGCTATCATTGACCGATTAGGTTACCGTGTGACGAAGAAAAAATATGGACGGCGCGTGCATTTCTTATAGATAACATTTCATTCTTTCTTAGTTTCTTTGCATTCTCAACTTTGTTTATCTTTTGCTTTTTCATTCTTTTTTCCATTCTTTTCATTCTTTTTTCCATTCTTTTCATTCTTTTTCCATTCTTTTCATTCTTTTTTCCATTCTTTTCATTCTCAAAGCTGTTCCCTTTTTTATTTCTTTTCATTCTCTGTTTCTATTTTTTCTTTTTTCTTTCTTTTCATTCTCAATTTTATTTCACTTTTGTTTCTCATTTTTCCTTTTCTAATTCTCAACTTTGCTCCAATTCTTTCTTTCTTTCTTTTTTCTTTCTTTCTTTCTTTTTTCTTTCTTTCTTTCTTTTAATTCTCCGTTTCTATTTTGTTTTTCTTTCTTTCTGCTTTCTTTTCATTCTCAAATTTATTTCTCTCTTCTTTTTTCTTTACCTTTCCTTTCTTTTAACTCAAATTCATTCCCGTTCTAGCTTCACTTTCTTTTCTTTCTTTCTTTCTTTCTTTCTTTCTTTCTTTCTTTTCATTACAAACTTTATTTCTATTTTGTTTTTTATTTCTTTCTTTTCATTCTCAAATTTGTTCGTTTATAAATAGTTTCCTTCTTTCCTTCCTTCTTTCCTTCCTTCCTTCCTTCTCTCTTTCTTTATTTCTTTCTTTTCATTCTCTATTTCTATTTTTTTTCGTTTTTCTTTCTTTCTTTTCACTCTCATCTTTATTTATGTTGTGTTTTTCTTTTTGGCTTTCTTTTCATTCTCGAATTTGCCCCATTTTTAATTTCTTTCTTTCGTTCTTTTTTTCCGTTCTTTCTTATACTTTTTTCCGTTCTTTCTTATACTTTTTTTTTCCTATTCCCATTTTTTTCTTTGGTATATTCTTAAGTTCTTTCCTTCTTTCTTAATTTTAATTCTGAGTTTTATTTCTCTCCTGCTTTTTCTTTCCTTTTTCCTTTCTTTTTACTCAAATTTGTTTCCGTTCTCTTTCTTTCTTTCTTTCTTTCTTTCTTTTCATTACCAACTTTATTTCTATTTTATCTTCTCTTTCCATTCTCAAATTCGTCCTTATATATATATATATATATATATATATATATATATATATATATATAATTTCTTTCCTTCCTTCTTCCTTCTTTCTTTCTTTCTTTAACATTTGACTAGAAGATGAATGCATTTATTCTACTTTTCCTAATATCCTTATCTTTTCTTTCACATAATACTTGTCAGAGGCAAATGTTCAAGGTCCATACTGGTAGTTTGATCGATAAGCTAAAATAAACAAGTAAAATTTAAAAGAAGTGAAAATTAAACGGAACAAAAGATTCAAAGACCCCTACAGTGGAGACAACAACAGTCTCTTTCATTATTCAAATGATGGTCTAGTACGACCCAATTTGTAAGGACCAGAGAGAGAGAGAGAGAGAGAGAGAGAGAGAGAGAAAATGAGAGTATTTATAACGAGAGACTGTCGAATATTCAAACGATAGTCATGCTATCCTGCTGCGAAACTTGTTTATCTATTCACGTCAAAGGAAACAAAAATAGCTCAAAATGATGTCAGCAACCTATCTCTGTATTTTTCTTATTTAAAACGTTTTAAAACAGGAAGAAAAATTATCAAAATAGTTGTAACAAAAAAGATTACTGTAAAGTGGTAATATCGAAACATGATTAACGAAAAGCGGCGGAACTGGTTTATCGGTCCTCTCTCATCAGAGTTCAAACGAGGACAAGAAGTGCGCACAACACTTGTGAATACCAAAGTTCAAATGTTACGGAAACTATATAAAAATTAAAGGTTAATTATATTCAAATCTAACAACCAGTTTCTGTATTTCTTTATTTGTTATTCAGCGTATTTCGCTGTTATCAGTTTACGGAAATATTTTTTACTAATTTTTTTGTTAAATGTTTTTATTGTTTTAATTAAATTTTGTACTCTTGCAAAAATATTTCAATATTTTTCTTATTTCGAGTATATGCAATACCAACAATGGCAAAATAAGAATTCATATATTCCCATTTTAATGAGAATGTCCGCGATATAGTGAATTTATAATTTGTAATGAATACATGATTTGATGTCTGATGATGTCTCACACTGCATCATTTGTGATGCTGTCTCTGTAGGAGAGGCGTGGGATAGTTTTGTATCATCTAATTTCTAATGATTGGATTATTCGCTGCAATACTGCTGTAAATGTCCAAGATTCAGATGCGTAAAGAACGATAGAAAAATCAGTGCACACAGCAGTCTGATCTTTGATTTTAGGCAGATGTTCTTGTCTTTCCAGTTATTTGTTAGTTCTACGATAGCTGCCGCTTTTGAAACTATTTCTATTCGGGAGCCAATTCACTGAAAATATAATAAATATATTAAAGCTAGCTCACTACTTTAAGTTCCTGATCACCGAATTTATCTTGGTTGAGAGCTCCGTCATATCCAGTTCACTGGTTTTTAAATAACATTTCAAATTTTGTATTAATGAAACTAATAGAAAAACAGCCGAAATTAATCAAAACCTTAATAGCTATTTACTGAGCGAAGTCACACGAGTATGAAGACAATCCCCGATGGGGTCATATCAGAATTGGGGAAAGAACTTTCAAACGATGGAAGAAAAACAAATATTTAAATGACCCAAAACATTGTCTATCTTTCTGAGTTATGAATTCAATACATGACAGAGGTGAACAAAAATAAATAAATAAATAATAATAAATAATAATAAATAAATAAATAAAATAAAACTTGGATATTTAAGTTAAAGGGAAACTGAAATATCCGGAAGAGGCATGGCACGTGGAACTTGAGAAATAAACTCCAGTGAACGAAATAAAGGCTTCAGTTCGAAATTTCAATTACCTGGAGAAGGCTGGAGCGTACAACGGTCGGAACATTGTAAACATAACAACAAAGATCAGGACAACAGTCCGATCAATGTAAATAATGTAAATTGATCCAAAAAAGATATAAAATGCCAATGTAAAGAAATAATTGTGGTGGGTACTAAGAATTTTACTTAAAAAATCTATATTCTAACAATATGAATTGTGTGTCTTTTATATATATATATATATATATATATATATATATATATATATATATATATTTTATATACGGAAACGTAGCAAAAACGACACTTCAGGGATTTTTTTTCGTTAGTGGAATACTATTAAAAGTGGAGAATAAAATATCTCCATGTCCATTCTATTTCCATGTAATTTTTATTTATTTACGTATAAATTAACAAAAAAATGTCTGCCCAAGAGAGATCACATCAGGCCTAGTAACTCCTAATTACAAAGTCGATCCCACGATTTTTCTTAGTAATATAATAAGACGAATAATCAGGAAGACTGCGTCTTGCTAGATAAATTTTCTCTCCTGAATCTATCTTACATAGTTATAAGTCTACGATTCGTCCATGCTTTGAATATTGCTGCCACATATGGCCCGGTGCTCCTGCTGTATATCTAGAGATTCTCGATAAAATTCAAAGAAGAATCAGCAATATTATTGGTCCTGACCTGGCGTCTTGGCTTCAGTTACTTTCCCACTACCGTAATCTATTTTTCTATGCCTTTTCTATAAATACTTTCATGTTAATTGTTCGGATGAACTCTTCGCTATGACACGTAGACGTTATAAATTTAAACGTAGTACTAGATTGGCGAAAAGGTCTCATTAATTCACAGTTGGCATGGCTAGATGTAACCGTAAGTTTCTTTTCTCGCACTTCTCGCTTGTGGAACTCTCTTCCAGCTGCATACTTTCCGGTCAATTCTGATCTACAAAAATTTAAATTCAGTCTCAATCGTTATCTACTGTCCTCTAGATTACTTTTCTATTGTTCTTGCTCATTAATAATGGTTCTCTTTTTTTATTCCTTTACACTCAGTAACCCCTTGTATCTTAGTGGCTTTATCGCCTTGCATTGGGTGATATGATTTTATAAAAAGAATATTTAACCTATCTGCACTCTTCTCTCAGCCATAGTGACATACTGACGATGATATTTCAATAATAATAATGATAATTAATAATAATAATAATAATAATGAAATGAGCATTTAAAAATATTATTTCGCAAATTCTATGAACAAGAAGTGACAAGGCGAGAGAAGACTGCCAAAGGCGGCATTTAAATGAGTATTACGAATAAAAGCGGTTAGAATTTTCAGAAGAAACTACACTAATATTATTCCTATTGTCTAACCCCTTTAAAGAAAGAATACATTATTAAGGTGATTAAATCATTTTGTGAGAGTGTAAATGACACAGAATAAGCTCTTTGGGGTTAAGATATCCACGGGACCATTGTACAGGGACCACGTTGCACATATTTCGTCTTTTGTAGTTCGGTGTATTTCTTGAGAACGACACAGTAACATTTGCTCCTCAAAAAAGGTCAGGTTTTATGATTGAAGTGAAGAGAGGAAAAAACGCGGAACAGGGAAAAAAAGCGAAGAATAAAAAAGGGTCTTTGAAAGGAAAATAGACAAAAATGAAAGAAATAAAATGAGGAACATGCACAAATGAAATAAGAAAACAATACAAAAATGAAAGGAAAATTGAAGTAAAAAAAAAGTAAGAAAAGTGAGAAAAGAAAAAAAAATTAGATATGAAATTAGTGAAAAATAAAGAAAAAGTAGGAAAATATTTTATCAATATGTAAGGGGAAAATTGATTGATTCAGTTGTGTATATCCTGTCTACTTCAATCGTCGGGGTTCGAGCCCAACTTAAAGTCAGAATCTCGAACGCTGGTCTTGAACAAAAACTTTTCCCGATCTTAGTTGAAAAATTAGATGAAAATAATCTTCCTACGATAACCATCGTTAAATTGAGTCTTGCGTCATACTAAGTATTGAAAATAAAATGAAACATGCTAAGAAAGAAAGAAAGAAAGAAAGAAAGAAAGAAAGAAAGAAAAATATTTAAAATGGGGCAAATCTGAGAATGGGAAACGAGGAAAACTAAAGATAAATAAATTTGAGAATAAAAAGGAAAAAAACATATAAAGAACAAAAAAGAAAAAAAGAATGAATGAATGAATGAAAAGCAACAAATAGAACAATGAAAAGGGAGACAGAAAGAAAAACCAAAAAAGTGGTAATAAAAAAAGAAGGAAATTTAAAATATGGAGCAAATTTGAGAATGAAAAGAAAGGAAAAAAGAAAAACAAAAGAGAAATAAAGTTGTGAATAAAAAAGAAAGAAAAAAAAAAGAAGAAAATAATGAATGAAGGAAAGGTAACAAATATGAGAATGAAAATAAAGGAAGGAAGAACAAAATAAACAAAGTAGTGAATAAAATGAGTTACAAAAAGAAAAAAAAACAAAGATGAAAAGAAAGAAAAATAAAATATCAGATAAGAAAGAAAATGCAATTAAAGAAAAGTAACTGAAGAATAGAGAAATAAAAAAAAACGGACTGAAAATATAAAAAAAAATATCTAATGAAGCAAAGTAATTAGAAAGAAAGAGAGAGAAAAAAGAAGTAAATAAGACCCGGATATGACGTTGATGAAAACAAGGAGAAAATATTCATAAACTAAAACTAAATGAAATCAGATCAGAGCCGGAGAAATTTTGAAAGAAATAACAAATGAAGAAGTGAATCAACGTAAGTGAAAAAATAAGAGCGCAAAGAAGGCGTTGCCTGACTATCGGACGAAAGCTGCTCTGCCTTCGCAGAAAGGGTGGTAGTGGCTTACAGACAGTGAAAGCCCACATCGTTGTGTCGTTGAATAAAGTTATCTGACAAGCCGCACTGCTTCCTTCGCATACGGGTCGGTAAGCCATCAATATTTCAGTTCAGAGTTAATTGTGAAGGGATTAGGTTTTACAACTCTATTTAATTATATCAACAATTTACTTGAACAGCCAATTGTCGGGACTAATCGGGCAGACTCAATAATAACAAAGAACTCATTACGCGTGCGCAAACGCGGGCTTTTGTGTATGCGCGCGCATTCGCGCGCGTGTGTGTGTGTGTGCCGATATGTGTACGTTTGATTATATGTGTTTATATTTTCATCAGAATTTGCATAACAATGTTCCTGCTTTGTAAATATTATACGATCATTTCTGGTGCATTCGATGCACTGAGCGGAAATAACTATGGGTGCCTAGCCGTGGAGCAATGGTTAGTAAACTTGTCTCGTAGGTTATTACTACTAAAATTCTCACTGAGTGCCACTTTACTGTGACCTTGTGATTCTCAATGTCGGCGGTAACGTTTCCTTTTGGGGCGCTATGACATCTCAAGGGAGAGTAGGTACCCAAAGGAGTTATGGGGTGATATAAATTTAACAGGGTACGAAGAAGCGATAACAATTTCAAACTCTAATTGGAACAAGTCACGATATTTTATATAAGCATTTATTCATCTTTTTGAGTATATATTTAGATTTTTTAGATATATTTTTAAAAAAATAAACTGCAATTGCAATATATGTCTTCTATATACCGTGTCCCTTCAGTTATTGGGAAATCATAGCTATCCACAATTGTCTTCCCTTTGTAGCATTCAACAATATTTGTCTTTTTACTATCACACACACTCTCTGTTCTGACATCCATTCATATAAGATCGTTTGGAATGTTATTCGCTGCTTTCCCCTGTCCGTCTTGCTATCACTATATCATGTGTGACAAATTTTCCAAGTATTCTTTTCTCATTATATGTCCTAGAAATGTCAGGTGTCTCTTTCTGGTTGTAACTACAAGTATCCTTTTGTTTCCATTTTCCTTAAAAATTCCACGTTGCTTACACACTCCACTCATGGTATTCTCATCATCCTTTTGTAGAACCTCATGTCTGTTACTTCATGTGTTCTTATCTGTGAGGAGCTTGTCCAGCATTCACTGCCATATAAGATGACTAATATTACATAGCAGTTCAGCTCTTTTTTTTTTGTTAATGACGACATTTTTCCGTTTCTTAATACTTTGCTTAGGTTCTGGAAGGCATCTTTTGTGTTTTCGAATTTCGGTGTCACATTTTCCAACATCTATTAAAACACTTCTCAGATATTTTTAACTTCTGTACGTGACATACCCACTACGTATGTTGAGCCTTTTCTCTTGATGAAAATCATGCATTTCACCTCAAGCAAGGCAATAAAGCCACCGAGACGCAAGAGGGTTACAGAGTGTGAAAGAATATAAAGAACAAAAAGGAAAAAAATTGTTAATGAGAGAAAACAATAAAAGGACAAATATTAAGAAGACAGAATATAACGACATCGCATTTAAATATGACTGGAAAGCAAGAATTCGGAATAGAATTCCACGAGCGAGAAGTGCGAGAAAAGAAACTGTTAGCATAAAACTTATGATTACATCTAGAAATTTCAACTCTGAAATGATGAAACCTAATTGCCAATCTAGTACTACGTTTAAATTCGTGAAGTCGATGTACCAAAGAGGCAAGTTCGTCAGAAGAATTACAAGGAAAATATTTATACAAAAGGTAAGGAAAGCTACGTTATGGTGGTGGGAAATTGACTGAAGCTGAGATGCCAGATCAGGATCGATAACATCGCAGATACTTTTTTGTAATTTATCAAGAATCTCTAAATATAGAAGAAGCACAATACCAGATGTTACAGCAATATATAATGGGCGAATGGTAGACTTATTAATAGATTTTTACGTGAAAGATTGTCTAGCACGTCACAATGAGCCAACTTGCCTAGCAGCAGATCAAGGAATTGATTCAATATAATCTTTCCATTTTGGTAAAATGTGAGAGCAAAAAGGCGCAATGAGTTACTCTCCTGGAGGTTAGCATCAGCCATACTGATGCAAGGCTCCTGGAGGTTAGCATCAGCCATACTGATGCAAGGCTTCTGGAGGTTAACATCAGCCATGCAGATGCAAGTCTCCTGGAGGTTAGCATCAGCCATGCTGATGCAAGTCTCAAAATGTACTCTCAGACGATTAAAATATAGCAGTTTCATTCTGGAGGCGTTACAATCAGCAATATATTGAAATATTTTAATTTTAGTAAATTATAAAATATATATAACAAAATTATATAAAAATGAGTATAAATAATTGTTACATAATTACATTTTTTATAATATATAATTATAATACAGCATAAAAGTATGACGCTCTGAAATTCTATTCGATTTATTTGCAGGAAAAATGTTATCAGGCGTAATAGCACCATCGGAGAGAACAACGCTTTCAGTTACAAAACATTATATTTTCCACATTTTTCCACATTTTCGCAAATGATGAATAATACCTACATAAAAATCTACATTAAACCCATATCTGCTAAAAGTAACTACCCACTGCTTAGCTGTGCTCACATTTATTGTTTGGTCTACGTAAACATTAAAACGATCGAAAAGGTAATAAAGGTGGGTGCAATATCAGTTGAATATGGCGGATGGTGTAGAACAGACCAACCGAATTCTAAACGTTTTTCCCGTGTTATTCTTGCTGCATTCGGCTTTGCGTAGTCATGGAAGAGAACGATATTATTCCTGTTGACGATGACAGTGCGCTTTCGATCAAAACTTTACGGACACGTTACAGTTGCTGGACGTATAAATGTATATTTAGTATTTCTTTGCGTTTTAAGAAATCTAAATGTAAAATAGCCCGATGATTCCAGCGCAGCACAACATTACATCTTTCCAATGGACTTCTGCTTTTGGTATCGGTTGTAGAGATTTATCCTTGTCAATCGACTGCTCATTTCGTTGAACATTGTCGTATGCAATACATTTTTCATCACCAGTTATGATATAATAAAGGAAAGGTTCATTTAAGAACATACATTCGTTATTACAGTTGGTTTCCCTAAACAAAAATTACTTATGACTCAAACTAATATATATATATATATATATATGTGTGTGTGTGTGTGTGTGTGTGTGTGTGTGTGTGTGTGTGTGTGTGTGTGTGTGTGTGTGTTTGAGAGAGAGAGAAACAGAAAGCCATTTCCCTTCATTCCATAATAGCCGATATATAAATCTTATAACAAGAGTTATAACAAGTGTTCTGAACATCGCTTGAGGAATAAAACTGATATTCACCATGCATATTGAGCACCATTCTCCTAAATAATATATATATATATATATATATATATATATATATATATATATATATAAAAATATAAATGAATTTATTTATAATACCATATATTTTTTAAACCAAAACAAAAAAAAACTAAATGGTGTTAGTTACCAGAAAATTTTAAACGATCATAAATAATACCACGGATTTATACTTCATATGAAAAATTCTCATCGGTATGCAAAATAACGTATTTTAATATACGTCAGTTGAACTTATGAATAATTATGATAGTTTATAATTTTTTTGTAACTAACATTTCGTTTTCGTTTTAATTGGGTACATTTTGCTTTTCATTTCGCTTGATAAACTCCGAAAATGGATGAAATACGTTGGCTGAAATTAAATACATTTTTCCTCATGTCTTTTTTCTTATATATATATATCTTACTTATTATAAAACGCAGGTTGTGTGTGTGTGTGTGTGTGTGTGTGTGTGTGTGTGTGTGTGTGTGTGTGTGTGTGTGTGTGTGTGTGTGTGTAACGTTTATATGTTGGATCGAATTTCCTACATTTTTTAGCCGATTTCAACAAAACTTCACAGGACTACATAAAATTACCTTTTGGTGGTTCTAACGGCGCCGAAAATGGGAAAAACAGTTGTTTTTAAGAAAATCAATTTGAAAACACGATTAAGACACATCGTGAGAATGAAAGGGGACAACTCACCCACGAAAATGTAAACAAAAAGAGCATAGCATGATGAAAAAAAGACGCCGAACTTGACGAAAACAAAATTTTATCGTCTAATGTTCATATTATTATTAAAGAGGAAAGATCAAAGTATTTTGGGGTATCTTTTTACATTTTTAATCGTTCCTAGCACGTCTGAAATTTTCGTTAAAATATTGTTTTTTTTTTTGGTCAAAAAAAAAGGACAGATAATCATTTTCAATCATTTTTTCGATTTGATAAATAAGATTATAATCTTACTTTGATATTCTTTTAAAAATCAATTATCATTTAAAAACAATAAAAACAGATATTATACTGTTTATTTAAAATATTTTGAACCAAGCTTAACTTAGCTTCTGTGCCGAAAAAATGTAATTTGAAAATAAAACAAAGCAGGTCATAACCTTTCGCGTCGCTTGACGATTGACGAAAGGCATATTCATGACGTTTAGATAACTTACGGGAGGGTAATTCTTTCTACGGATGGAAGGAAGTGAAATTATTTAAGTGAACAAATTATTTACCTCGTTACTTTTAAGGAAAATTTCAGCGCTCTAATTTTTATTTTTTATTTATTTATTTTTTTTGTACTTAGCTTTCATTTTTTACGTTTACGATGCTTTATGGAAAATATAAAGAAATTAAAAAAATAAGACTGTTAATAGTGAGATTAAATTTCATAAGAAAAAGGTATCTAATTAATTTAGGTACCTTTCTTATGAAATTTTATCAGAAGTGTACATAAAATACTATAATTTTATGTACATTTATTACATTTTACTGTGTTATTTGTATTTCCATTCATTTTATTATTAATTTTGATATTTCATTTATGGAAAATGTCATAACTGAGATTAATATAAAAATAAGATCATATAAATTAAAGTTTAGCGGTAGTTAAATTTCATAAGATGATACTGTTACTTGTAGGTACCCTTCTCAGTTGAAATTGAAAACTCAAATGAACTTCTCCATACGTGTTTCATAAAAGTAAAGGGCTTAACAGCGGAGAACAATGCTGAACTCAA